AATGGCTTCCACAATGTCGATGTTTGGGATACGTTCTCTCCGTCGTACGAATCGTTCAGGACGAGCATCTTCCACCCTCGAACATAGTTTTCCTAGCGTTTACGTCGTATGTGTAGTCGAATCGATATCTCTTCGCCGCGGAAGTCGATCAACTGTCCGTTTTGATACACTACACGTGTCGTTATATCGGTAATGTTTCGTGCGATGACCGGGAGGTAAATGACGTGCGCCTGAGTAACGGATAGTTTATATCCTGGAGGAACGTTTGCCGAGAATTCGTGTATCGTGTGTACCGGTCTGTCGTTGTTGTACGCACCCGAGGTAATGTTACACTCAACACGAATTATATTCACGTTCATAATTTTAACCGGTTCGTCCGATACGTGCCACTTGTTCGGTCGTAACATACGAGACGAAAAGCCCAATAATGAACCGATACTGTTCGTTTTGGAAAAATCCACTAGATATTCACACTTGATCTCACTTCTCATGGTGTTTTCGTTCGCGCGAAGAATCAATACAGATTTCGCCCGTTCCATAGTTCTTTTGTCCTCGAATATTAGATCTATCCCGTCGAATTCTTCGAGTTCGTCATTGTTGTTAGTACTCGATAGTGTATTGTGAACTATAGCGGTCCTCAGATACTTTTCGATATCGTTCAATTTGTACGAACCTACGGGAATCGTGATCGTAATATTGTCTGTGTCGAAGTGGAATTTATTATTCGAGGAGGTGACGTTCGGTATCGTGTTGTACGTTTCGAAATTCGTAAGACCCAATTCGTATTCGCTATCGCTCAAGTCCAAAGCGGGGAAGTAATTCACCGCGAGGACACTGTTTTTTCCCGTTAGTGAGAGAGTCAATGACATGATCGTAGCGCGAAGGCCACCGCTGAACTGTTCGGATTGTAGTGCGATCTATCACACGAGAACTTGTTTCCTCTTCCAATCGATCTTCCAGAGAAATCGTAGACACAACTGACCGCAAATGCTTTGATCGTACGACTGATATGATCGTCTGTTGTATGTGATGTTACCTCCGAGATAACGTTCGACTTTCTTCGGTGGTCTTAGATTACCGAAACCGTCGAAGTAGACAGATTCGTCTCCCCGCTTCGCGTAAGCGACCCAGTGTGTACCGGGTGCTGTCGAATCGTCGAGATTCACGATACCGCTCTCGTTACGACGTGGTTTCGCGGGCATCGCATCGCGCATGAATACACCTCTGAAGAATGGCAATTTTAAAAGATGCGCCAAATGACGCAATTGCTCGTTCGTCGTGATGCCGGAGATCGGTAATCTAAGATCCTCTACCGTTTTCTTCCATGATGTTTTTTTTTTATCCTCTTCGTTCTCTTCCTCACGCGACCTCCACGTTTGTGTGGCGCAATGTACAGACCGCGACCATCCATCGCGCGATTGTGACGTTGCAATTCCTCGAGTTGTCGTCGAGCAGCTTTTCGATCGCCCACTGCTTTCGCCACGCTAGCTGCTCCACCGATCAAAGATCCGAGCGCACCCAACACCGGTAAAATTGGCAGAAAACCACCGCGTTTCGCTACAGATAAAATCCTCGTTCTCCTTGACTTTTTTCTTTTTCTCACACCCATGCCCAATTTTGTCTTCGCCTTCATGGCTGCCCACACGGCGGTTGCGACGGCTTTCTCACCTAACGTCGAATCGTTTGCTGTAATACGCTGTTTCGCTTTCTCGGCGAGAGCTCGATCAGCACTGTGTCGACTGGCGAGGTCTTTGCTTTGCGAATACGCGATATCGTGTTCAAGCATAGACGTGACAAACCGCGTCTAATTTATTGATGCCTCGATCGCCGCGAGCTAATCGTTTCGCGAGACGCGTACCTGGTCCGCAAAATTGGTATCCCGGAATGTGTAATTCAAACGGAAGCGCGTTTATCGTCGCGTTAAGTAAACCCGTGCCGTACGCAGGTATCATTCCAACGCGATTTTTTGCATATCAACGCGACATTGGGGACAATTCTTGATAAGAGGCGGTGGACCGTCTATATGCGTTTTTTGATTGGGAAGATTATAATGCTCGAAACACATACGACAACGTTTCACCTCAGTATCGGCTTTTATATGATCGATCCCATAATTCTTCGATATAATTTTCGAAATCGCGCAGAAGGATGATCCTTGGTACGTATTGCAGTTGTTCGGCTGTAAAAGCGAGAATGTCGCGTTTGTCCGTTATCAGAATGAACATTTTTTTTTCATTGAATGATCATTCGTCACAATAGATGATAGACTGTGCGAAAGGCTCGTCTGTTCGCGGTATAAAAAGCGCGTGACTTTCCCCTGTCGCAGGGTTCGCGCACGCGCGTCAAAAGAGCGACTAATGCGATTCGTGCGACAATCTCGAACGATAGGAGTATCGAATCTCGATCGGAAGACGCGAATGATGTCGAGTGACATGGTTAGAGAGAATTGCAGACACGGTCCTGCACTACCTAGCTCGATACGTTGCATCATTTGCGGACCTTCCAATTGCGGTAAAACGAATATGTTGCTAAGTCTGATAGAGAGTCCGCATGGTTTACGTTCCGAAAACGTTTACGTTTATTCGAAATCCTTGTTTCAACCTAAATATCGATATCTCGAAGAGCTGCTGGAATCGATCGACGATATCGGTTACTATGCTTTTTCTAATAATGGTGACGTTATTCCGCCTAGCGAAGCGCTTCCAAACTCGATTTTCGTATTCGACGACGTAGCCTGCGACAAGCAGAATACTATCAGGGAATACTTCGCTAGAGATCGACATGCAAGTGTCGATTGTTTTTATCTCTGTCAAACATATGCGAAAATACCAAAGCATCTCATACGCGACAATGCCAATTTGCTAATTCTATTCAAACAAGATGGCACCAATCTGAAACACATTTACAACGATCACGAGAAATTTTGCACACTGTGTCATCTATGTTGGCAACGCAAATATGGTTTCGTGGTTATGGACAAGGACAGCGCGTTACAGAATGGCAGGTATAGACGTGGCTTCGACGATTTCGCGATTCTGTAAGTCGTACAGTGTTTATTGTGACAGCGCGACAGTATGGACGAAACGAATAGCATCGCCGAACGCGAAAGAACCGCAAAACTGATCGCGAAAACACGTGGGTCGATTCGTAAGAAACACAGGCATAATGGAGAGTGAAATTGCCCTGGAGAAAAGATTCAAACCGATCGTAGAACCGTTGAGACAAATTATCGATATCACTGAACGAGACAAACAGTTTAAAAGTGGAGATGTCGTGAAAGTAAAAACGTCGAAAAGTAAACGTGAGCACAGCGACAACGACAATGATGATAATGATGTTAATGATGATGCAATTGCTAGAAAAAGTAAACAAAATCGATCTCCGTTAAAAGAACAGTCGTCGAACGTTATGTCACAGTCGATAGATTCGCAAACGGTACAGGATGAGGACGTTTTCGAAACCTCCAACGATGCTGATCCATCTCTCGAAACGTCTGTTAGAGAAGTTTTAAGGACACCTCAAGGTCGCGATAGATTGAACAGTCAGCTAGGACCATTAGGACACATATATATCAA